ATCCCCATCCAACAAGATATTGCTGGCTTTTAGGTCCCGGTGAACGATCTTGAGCCTTGAATCTTCGTGGAGATAAAGAAGTCCTCGCCCGATGCCCTCGATGATCTTATACCTCCTTGCCCAGTCCAATTGCACTCTCCTCACAGGATCTGATCCATTCAGCTTAAATGACTCAGGTTACTGAAATGTGAAGCAGTAGTGCCATGCAACAATGCTCATGTTTTAACATAATTTAAATATTTCAGCTAGACTGCAATATCATCATAAGAAGGTGTATAGGATTTGGTTCAGATATGAAGCAATACAGCATCTGATGTATTGTAGCACCATTAGGTGATGCATAATGGTGATGGATGCAAGTGGTGAAGCATACCAAATAAGACTTTGTCGAGACTTGTATTAGGAAGGTACTCATAGACAAGTAATTTCTCCTCCTCTTGTAAGCAACAACCCAACAATCTCACAAGGTTTCTGTGCTGAAGTTTGGCCAACAAAACCACCTCATTCTTCAGCTCAACAAGCCCTTGCCCTGAGGTTCTTGAAAGCCTCTTCACAGCTATTTGCACTCCATCCTCTAGTGTTCCCTGTGGTGCCAGAACCATATGGATTACAGGTTACACAAAGATGAATTCTTCAGTCTCGAGGGCTTACCCTATAAACTGGTCCAAATCCTCCTTCTCCTAGCTTGTTTGCATCAGAAAAGTTGTTTGTGGCAGGCCTGATCGCCTCCAGATCAAGTAACAGAGATTCTGCACTCTTGATCTCTTGTTGATCTTCATTGTCTGCTCAATAAAATTGTCACAGTAAGCACCTGCAAAGTTCATAAAAAAGCATGCTAATTCTGCCGCCTCACCAAATACTCGTTTGTGCAGCTGCATCCTCCTTGGCATTGCTGGTTTCCTTCTTCGACAGTACATAAAAATGGCAAGGAGGAACAACAGTGCTGCAGCAACAGGGATGACAACAAGTAGAACTGTTTTCACAGCATTGTTACTTTTTCCTACACAGAAATTGATATAGTGTATCAATGGAACCGTCCGTTCCAATAAATGAAATCAGTGTAAGGTAACTTAATGCAGATGCTGAGAGATTTTTAGTGGGTAAACCTCCTTTTAGAAGTCATAAAAGCAGAGAGAGGCCAGAAGTTTCCTTATGATCTAATGGGGACGAACACAAATTGCTTCGATTCCCTGATAGACTTACGGAGAATAATTGAGATTGGAAGGTCTTTCAAGAACATGGAACTTATATATTGGGGAAGAGAAGAAGACGTGGCGGATAGTGAGATATAGTTTCAGCAGCTGACGGGATTGCCTCTAACCAGTCAAGGCTGGCGCTTGGACCGAAGGGATCGTCGTTCGTATCTAACGAACCGCTGTCATGTCGAAGAAGGTCGATTAAATTATATGATACTTTTAGTGTCAGTATGTGAAGCATTTTGTCCTCTTACTGGAGAAAGATGGAGCATTCTGCCTCTCTCGAGCACTGTAATAAATTCTACGTTGCGTAAAGATCAGGTCGATTCTATTGACAAAATGTTTCTGTGTTTATGTCTATTCTTACCTCCACTGGCATCATTTGGCCCGGTATCGTTGGCCGTCATGCTGCTCGGAGACGGGGGCGGTGGAGCGTTCACGGAGGAGATGTTGTAGTAAGGATACAACTCGAAGCGAAGGTAACAACTCTGGGCGTACACCTTCCCTCCCTGCTTCCAACTGCAACACTTGGGAATGAAGGTCACCGTGTCCCGGAGACACCGGTAACAATCGTCCGCCGACAGGTCCCTCGAGCACTGCACCAACCCGTACAGCTTATCGAAGCTGGTGACTTTGGCCGATCCAGCCGCGAACAGTTTGGGCGAGCTACTTGCTTTCTCGGTGAGATCGTCCATGAGATTCCCCAACGTGGTCTCGAACTGCTGCTGATCCGAGACGTTCTGGATGTTCCACGCCCAGTACCTGAAGGAGGTGTCCACCGTGGAGAAGAACATCTGGTTGGAGTAGCGAAGCAGGCAGTCGTCGTAGCATATGGTGGATGTCATGCCGTTGGGGCACGACTGGATGATGTCTTGGACGGCGGCGTCGAGGCAGGTCTGACACACGGAGGAGGAGACGTCGCCGCGGCATAACGCAAGGCCGTGGACTTGGTCCGAGGACTGACCTTCCGTGTCGTTGGAGTAGCCGGTGGCGGCGGTGGAGGAGGAGAGGGAGGCGAGGAGGAGGTTGAGGTTGGTCTGGAAGGTGCTGTTGGTGGTGTAGTTGGCATCATGAGGACAGTTAATCCAGAGAAAGTTTGAGCTGGTTGCGTGACAGCGGAGCATGAGACCAAGGGAGAAGAAGAGGAGGACAGGGTAGGAACGAGGCATGTCTGCGTTCCTTCGTTGCGGATGGTGATCCGGGAGGAAGACGATCAGAGCAAGCTTTAAGCACGAGGTGTTCGATGTTTGACCTGGTCAGTCGACCTATCGATTACCAAAAGCACATGAAGCCCGCGTACGAGACACCTCGCCGTAACTTATTTCCAATGAGGCGATCATTCAAAGGTGACTCCGTCGTGTTTTCTAGAGGTGGCGACGACAATTTTAATAACGACAAAAACAATAGTACGGTATATCGTAATATTGAAAGTTTTTTTAATCTTACAATTTGATTCACTTATTTTATATTACAAGTCGGGATGACAATTTAATAACGCCAGAAACAGGAGTACAAATATTGAAAGTTCAATTTTTTTTAGTACTACTTGATTCGGATTCAGTAGTCTGATGGTGACGCATCTGACAATTTTAAATGTTTGAAGTGTTATGATAAGTTTACACTTAAAATAGAAGATTAATTATAGATTAATCAGTATAATTAGTTACTTTTAATATCTCAATTACTATATTTAAAAAAATTATATTAATATCCTATAATTATGAAAGTTTAACATTTAGATCAATTTATCCAATATCATCAGTTTTATGATGACGACGATGAGATTGCATGTGACTATTGTGAATAAAAAAAATGATGACGAAAAATAAGGACCTCTGTGTATCTAAAAATCTCATGTGACTATTGTGAATAAAAAAAATGATGACGAAAAATAAGGACCACTGTGTATCTAAATTGGCACTGATATTAATGCAAAACGATGTCTATCGACAATTATGTTGGCATCGACACAAAATGTAGAATGATTGTCGCTACTCTTTTTAACTATGACTCGTGATCCCCATCGATACATTATGTCACCACCAATTAAAATATTAAAATTATTTTTGTACTTTTTATTTTTATATTTTCGATGATTAAATCAACGACATTAGGATAAATAAATCTAGATATTTTATTTTCATAATAATAGAAATATCTATATAATTGTTTAAAATATAAGAAACAAAATATTAAAGATAACTAACTATGAAAGATAATCTATAATTAAACTTAAAAATAGATAATAATATATTTGACTTGCATATGAATAATAGTCTAATCATGGCATATCTGATTTATATAATTGTGGTGCATCTGATTTACCCTAAGTTAAGGGTTTGAAATTTTATGACATAAATTTACACCTAAAATAATAATTTAATGATGATATAGTCATATTACTTGTAGCACTACACAGTTCACGAATCCATGTATATCCACCCAAAAGACAAGCAACAAGTAATCTCAATCCAACTTGTCGAAGAACTCTTACAAGTCTCACACACAAGGTATTAATTTTAGGCACATAATTTTTGACGTCTCACACACCCGCCACCCATGGTGATGGCCACCTTCAGCGTTCCACAGAGCTTTTGAAAGTTCTCATGGACTCATGTCAGAATCTTCCTCTGAAAGATTTCTGAAACCAGCAATATCTTGTGCAGGAAGAAATGGACATGAATTAGATGAATGCCTGGTCCATCACAGACACTATTCTTCTCATGGAAAAAAGTACTTGGTCAAAGATTTCCCTTGACAACCACCACCTACAGGATTATAATTAGAGGAACTACATTAGCAGCAGATAAGCATCAATTGGTTGCAATATAGGAGAGAAACCATGGAGATGGTAGCTGGGTTGCCTGAGTTCATCGTTCAGTCTTTCCATTCTATTATTCAGCTCTCTGCCACTGCTTTAGACTTCGGGCCAGAATTTGCCAGCAACAAAACCCCAGAAGAATTTGTGGCAGTCGTCAACAGAATCTTACAGCTTCACGGAGGTAACAAGCTCGAGAGGCTTCGCCAGTACTTTTGTCCGCTCGACTTATTCCTTCCCGACATCAATAATTGGATAGCATTTTCGATCGCGAAGGGAGTCGAAGCACTTGAGATGAACTTTTCCATGGGCTTTGATCTGGCACCTAATCAATTCAGCAATGGAGCTCGGTTTTTCAGATTACCTGATCATTTGTACCCATGCAATTCATTCACACATCTGAGTTTGAGCCACTGTGAAGTCCAACCACCTTTGGGATTTACCGGTTTCAGTGGCCTTCGATTTCTGTCTCTTGCCGATGTGGACATCACGAATGATGTGCTACAATTCATACTAGCCAACTGCCCAAACTTAGAGAGTTTGATCCTCAGGGAATGGCTGTCTCTTGAATCGATCGAACTGGTTGCTGATAACCCCAGGCTTAGGAGGTTAGCTTTCGTAGAATGCTGGAATACCTATCAAATAGAGATTTCTGCTACTCATCTCCAGTCCTTCATCTTCTATGGTGAATATGCCTTTGGAAGCGAATTCAACTTATCTGAAAGTTCAAATGTCATTGTCCCATCACTGGAGGATGCCTTCATCAGCTCCATAGGCATGGAACACACAGAACCCTATCATGGCTATACAATGCTGCTGTCTGATATTGCACATGTCAAGATCCTAAAAGTGTGCTCGGCAACTCTAATGGTAATACTATCTCATGCTACTTACTAAGAGAAAACAATTATTCACCCTGGCTTGATGATTCTTAATCGACCATATTCAACAGCGTTTCACCATCTACGAAGAAACCGATGCTGCACTTTTGCCACTCGTGTTGCCGAATCTGCAAGAACTGCAGTTGCTAATGGACTCAATGAACAGTGAGTACCTCAAATACATCTATGGCTACGTCAGGCTCTGCCACACCCCACTCCTTGAGAAACTTTTTATTCAAGTAGGTCTTATCTCAATATCTTAATCTTCATTTCACGGATCCTTTTTATCTAATGTAACTAAAATCTGTCTTCCCTTTCAGCTTCCATCAATTCCTGAAGATCTGACCTATATGTATGATCCATCAGAAGAAGTTCAAGAACCATCTGGAGTGGTTTTTGGCCATCTGAGGGATTAAGCTGAGTAAGTTCAAAGGATGTAAGTGCGAAATGAGTTTGGTGAAATTTCTTCTCCAGAGGGCTGTTGTTTTAGAGATCATGGTGCTAGTCACTCCTCCAGGACAAAACAAAGTAGAAAGGATTGGTGAAGGACAAGATAGTGGAGTAGAAGAGGTAGTGCCTGGATATAACATTGAGTAGAAGAAGTAGAAAGGTTGTTTTTATTGAATCAGACTATAGTTAACAGAGATGTAAACTCTCATATATGATGGAAGAAATGTTATGAAATTTCTCAAAGTAATTATGGAATTCCTCATCTTTCAGATTGTCTTGTAGTTTCAAATGTTTACTCCAAAATTCTTGCATATTGGCTGGTCTTTCGAGCATAAAAAATATTTGTTGGCAACAAGGACAATAACAAAAAGGTCGTGAAGTCCCAAACTAAAGGTGTAAATTAAAACCAGTTTGCAAATGTGGTGTGAATTTCTTGAAAGATGTTTCCTTGACCTGAAATGGACAGCTGAACCCAATCAAATACCTACTGCCAAACTCACAAGCGGGATAGTGAGCAAATTGACAGCAATCTTCTGACCCTTAGGTTATTCGATTTGGGGACGGTGGATAACATGGATGGCACTTCTAACAAAATCTATCATCAACATCTCTATTCGATATAAGGAACATGCTCGAGATCTCATGAGTTATTTCTAACAAAGGTAAGCCCTTTGAAGCAGGAAACAGAGGGTCTTCGTCGCTATTCAACCAGAACCACTTCCGTGGAAATCAATTACATTTCGAGTTCTGTACTAAAATTGTCACCACCTTTATGGTGCGTTTGACAGAGAAAAGAAGTCCATCCCGAGTATAATCAAATGAAGAAAATCTAATTATCGGATACAAAACTGCAGACGAAATCGCAAGGGATGGGGAAAACTAACCTTCTTGGAAGAACAAACAGGGGAATTGCTCAGGAACACCCATCTCAAGCTACATCAAGACGACGAAATCAACCACCCGTGTGAAGGGCCGGTCCACAGAGTGGAGAGGCCCCTGCCTCATAGATCTGGAACCGACCGGAATGCCAGAAACCGCGGAATTCGCACTAAATCCAGGGCGGCGACACCGAGGAGGTTATGAGAGATAAAGAGGGGAGGAGAGAGGCTGGGCCATGTGAGCCTTCGACTACTACTAAGAACCTGAAAGCCTACCATGTGTGAGGCCCAGCTTAATAGGCCCACTAAAAGCCCATTTCCCAACCTCTCTATCTCTCTTTCTCTCTCTCTCACTCGTTTATATTGATATACATGTAAGGTGAATATTAAAAGTGGTGTCAAGTAAAAGAACAACAACATAGAAGCCAAATGGATACTGAAGAAGAATATATACTGAATGACAACAATGAACAACAACAAAATATATATGAACACAAATCACATCAGTCTCCCTTCTTATGAAGTAGATACTGAGGAAGAAGCCTTGTCACTGGTCCATACACTACAGTCATTGGAATTGCAATCTTGGAATTTGCTTCATTCACAAATGTTCTGGAAAATAAAAGAAACTTTCCCTTCCAAAGTTCAACCCCACCTGGCTATACATTCCCAGTATATGTATGTGCCTCTATGAACAATGGCTAAACACCTACAAGGACCAAAAGAAAGAAAAGAAAGCTGCTAAACACCTGATACTTGACCTACCTCTCGATAGTGCCATCTGCAAAAAAAGAAAATTAAACTGCCAGTTACAAAGAAACTATCAACATCATCAATGCAGCTGTAGCAGTAAATGTGATATAAAATAGGAGCAACAATAATTAGGAAATAACCATATGATTAGCTGTGGAATACCACCTACGGGTTCATCGCGATAGCTGCTTGTGAAAAAGATGAACATCATACAAGGCTAGGTATAGTTTGAGATATTTCAATAAGTATAATAGGTAAAACAATAGAATAAGCTCTATTTTTCATCGCGATAGCTGCTTGTGAAAAAGATGAACATCATACAAGGCTAGGTATAGTTTGAGATATTTCAATAAGTATAATAGGTAAAACAATAGAATAAGCTTTATTTTTCTGCAAGGGTTCAATGAAAATTCATTATATGAACTGAGATCAGAATGTGCTTAAATAGTAGAAAGGTAGACCTTGGTGACTGCCATTATCAATGTCCTCGAGGTGTGTCTCCAGCTTCAGGTTCTGTGTTATTTACAAACTCGAGCGAGGCCTCAGTCTTCAGGCCCTCATTGTTATTTACAGACTCGAGATTACTTTCCATGTTTGGGCAATCTGTATGATTACTTAGAAAGCCCTTGTCAGTATCTTGTGAAGAGCGGGTCCAACCACCGCTGCTGTTACTATTGGGAAGCTCAGCTATCACAGCATTTTCAGGCACACTGTCAAGAGAACTACAGCTACTTCGGTGTGAATGCTCCCCGACTTCTGACAAGCCTGTCTTCAGGCATGTAGGTGGGCCATGCGGGATGAGGTCAGAATCATCTGTCCTGAAAAATTAAAGATTGTTTAAATTAAATAGGCAAAGATAAATTTTATAGTGACAGACTGCGACACTCAACAAGATAGGCATTTATAACATCAAGTATTTCAATCCATGTGACAACGAAGAGCAACATTAAGATAAACCTGCAAAGTAGCTTTTGCAAATAGAATGTGCAACCAAATAACTTAGCTGAAGAAACAGTAAGTAAAAGGCCAAATTAGAGAGACATGTTGTAGAATTCACTAAGGCCAAATATGAGAGAAATACTGTAGTATTCATTTAGCAACTGATGTAGTAATCATTTATCAAAATGAACCATATGATCAACATTGAAGTCAGGGCATGTATGGACATCACAAGATGATCCAAAGAGAATCGGTTTGATGATCTTCTAATTGCTAACATTCATAAGAGGATTTTAAGATATTTTAGTTTCCACACTATATTGACATGTAAAAATGTAATGGCAAAAGAAAGCAACAAGGAGATGACATTGCAAAAGTATCTCTTCTAATGCATAAATATTAGCCAAAAAGATATCTGATGTTAAGACTAGGATGAACCTTGGTTGCTGGAATGTCGGTGATTGCAGATGATCGAAAACTGGAACAAGATCTTTCAGTTTAGCTTCAATTGTACGGCATGGGATTCTTTCAATCTCTATTTCTCCAACAGAATTACCACTGTAGGCTTCTTTGCTATTTTGGTCCATCAACACATTAAAGGAAATCTGTATAAGCAGAGGCAGTAAATAAATGGAGACAGAATGCAAGTAGGAAACATCAAGGAAGTAACCCAATTGATAACGCCTAAGTACCTTAGACTTTGACCATAGGGGAACCCAAGCTTCATGAACATGCAACTCGAACTCAGATATGTACAAGTGAGGAGTTTGTTTAGCAGCAAGCTTTGTTTTCAAGTCAACACCACTAGCAGAGTTATACACACTAATCTCTTTCCTCGTGTCTTTACATAAAAATTTAGTATTCTCTCCACTGCCATGATCACCATATATATCAACATTGTCGCATCCATCTTTTCTGTTCCGCTTATGACAAACATCCCATTTCTGAAGTGCCTCAACGTCTGACCTAGAATATGCTTCATGCGATAACTCGTGAGCAATGGAACTTAACCCTGATTGATCAGTGCCACAATACTCCCTGCTTGATTGATGAAGAACATACTGTATGATAGAGCCAGAAGAAAAGAATACAAGAAAGTAGTACATTTTTCTCAGTGAGCTGATATTGGCATTAAGACCAGTACCCTTGCAGTAATGGAAAACAGAAGCAATGGCCCCGGGCGAAGGACTGATCTTACCAGTACCAGCTGCTGCTAACCCATTAACGGTACTTTTAAACCCAGGTTTCCCGTTCTTTATTCTGCATACAGCTGATAATGTAACAGGACTACCAGACCCATAAAGGCTCTGCTCACTTATCTTTGAAGAGCAAGAATTCTGAGATAAATGAACTGACATTTTTGTTGTCAAAGCTGATCCATAGCAGATATTTGCAATATTACGCTCATTGAACTTAAGGTCTGCAGCTCCTCCAGAAGGGCAGATTGCAAATAAATGACTAGTACCCCTTGACGAGCTGATCACTATCCATTTACTGTCATCACTGAAGCTGATGTCTTGTATAACCTGATACAAAGAGCAATAATCTCATGCAATTAAAAGTTTGGAACTCAGCATGAGTGATGAAGATGGGTGCAAAGCGATGTGAGTGTATATCTACCGCATTTGTGATGCCCCGTTGTAACTTGAAAAGATGGATGCAAGTCCCCTTTGCACCTGATCCTTCTGGCTTTGAATGTGGAGAAGGCATTATGCGAAAAACATTGATGTTACGACCATGGATAGAAGCAGTGACTAGCAAGGTCCCACTAGGATCAAAGCACAATGCGGAGATAGGACTCTTATGTGCCCTAAACTGAACTATCACTGATCTAGAGACAATATCTTCAACTATGACCTGTTGATGTTGAAAGAAAAACGCAATGTTTAACAAATTTGTTCAACACAGACATTATATTCCTTAAGAGAGAGTCAATGTTTAACATATTTGATACGTGTATTGCGGGCCACATAACCCATCAAATTATTTAAAGAAATAATAAAAACAAAAAAGAAACTGAAAATTCAAAAAGAATCATACCATTTCATCATTTTCCATGTTTGCAGGTTCCCTATGCATGATCTTGTTGCTATTTGAATTGGAATTCCCATGCACTGTAAAACCATTATTGTCACCTACAAATTCTGTGTAATACTTGGAGAATGTTGTCAACCCCTTATCTCCAAGTGTCACCAAACCTGCAGCAAGCGTCTTACTAGATTCTCTTGCAAAATGTGCCATCAGACTACCTCTTGAAGGAGTCACCGTAGCAGGACTTACATCTTGAGCACTAACAGGGCAATTACTTGAAACTGGAACTGGAATTCCACTGTACGCTAACCACCTGGTGCCAACTGCAAGTGGGCCATAGCCTATACTTCCAGAAACAACAGATGCCGAAGCTACAGGATTAGTAACAATTATATTTTCCCTCTCTAGGGTTGCAGCATTAAGACATTGTATCTGCATAATAATATCACGACAATTTGTTCATCAAAGCTCTGTCTTTGAAGACAAAATTATAAAAAAATACAGTATAGCCTACCTGTGAAGTTTGACAAACAGCAATAACTCGAGGACTGCACCTAACAGAGAGAATAGCTGAGTTGAACTTCAAGACATGCTCATACTCATGGGTCCTTAAGGAATAAAAATGGGCATAAGTAGGCAAAGAATTGTCACTTTCCATCTCCTGACAACCACCAACAGAACCGTTAGAAGAAAAACCAAACCCATCAAAATTGTTGAAATTTCCATTAACGTATCCATCCCCAACCACAATCAGCACTGGACGAACATCTGCAAACCTATCTACTAGACCCTTTAATGCAATTGGCTTCTTTTGCATTTGAAGAAAAGAAGCAGGGAAATCATGTCTACATGCTAACTGCCTTACATCATCTGCTTGCTCAACATCCCAAACCTGGAACCCTGACCCATAACCCAACAAGAGAACTTGTCGGTGGACATCACCTTCCATTTCCAGTTTGTCAAATCCTGCCCAAAGCACCTATTAACCACCAACAACAGTTAGGAGGCACATGAGCTATCATTGAGCATTTCAAGTGATTAAGATTCAATTTAATATAGATATTATTATTTCAACAAATTGACTTAGGTTGAAGCATGTTAATATTTCACTTCATATTACATAAATTGGTAATTAGAAATATTGATAAAAAGTTCAACCAAACTATATAAGATCATCTCAAATTACTGGTATAACTGGTTAATAGTGCTTCAGAATATAATACTACAAGAATAATGAAGTTCAGGCGCACTGGCAGCTTGACTAAGCTGCTTAATAACACAATATAGAAAAACCATTAAGAAAAATCAACATCATAGAATTATATATGTCCAACTATTAAAAGCATGGACAACAAATAGGTTCAATCATGATTAGAAGCAGCTTAAATATAAGTACAATTGTATAAACAAATAAAGCTATCAAAATAACATCCACTGTTTTGTAATCCTTGAGAATTTTGCTTCATATTTCAGAAAGTCGCTTCATCATGGATGGTGAACTTTGGCATGGTACTAAAGCTGCTACATTGCAACCAGGACACCGAGGGTTAGAATAGCAGAACAGCTCCGCATGTGAAAGTCTGAGCAAAGTCCCATGCCACCTGGTGGTTGTTCTTCTAAATTATTCAAGATCAATCAGATAATACATGGAATGACAGCAGTTCAGCATAAATTTTACTGCACTTATGATAGATAATCAAGTTAAAATTTGGCGGTGAACTACTGGTTTCAATCTTAAGGATTGGTGCCAAAATGTATCCGAATTTCAAGTTTCATCATTAGCCAGTATATTTGATCATAAAGCAGTTATTTTGTGGTTCAGGGCTAGGAGTCAGTGTGGTGAGGCCTGGATATACCAGACACAGTAGAGGCACAAAACTAGAGGGTAAGTTAAGATATGTCACAAAAATGGGCATCAATTCATTATTTCTATCAGTTTTAATATCTCTGGTGAAAGGCTAAATGGATTTAGGGTAAACTGAGCTGGCCATCTTCTCAATAGAAACTAGCCTGACTTTGCAAATGACAATCTCCTCCTATGTGAAAAACAGTCTTGCATTGTAAATTTAACCAAATTAATACTGTGACAAAACCCACATGTGACAACAGGAATATGTAGCAAATTATTTGACAGATGAAGTACAACAAATCCAGAATTATGAAATTGTGCACACAGGAGTTTTATTATTCACATAGTTCACTAGATATGGCAACCAGTCATAAGCTAATTATTTTTCAGTGCTACAATTAAAGAGTTAACTCCAAAATCATAAATCAACACCATTCATTTGAAATGAACAGTTATCATATGAGTGCATGCAGAATCATTTCTTTTCCGTAAGATCAATCAGCCAGGATAAAACGGGAGTAATCATGTTACCCATGATTCCTACTTCAATAGTCAAATGTGCAAAAAGAACTCCAGTCAAATAGCAATGACTTAGAAATTAGTGTGAAAAGCATTAAAGATATGCATATCAAAAGCAATCTTTTACCCATCAGAGGTTCCAGAAAGGTAAAGAATAAAATTTTTAAGAAGCACAAATTATCATCAAGGAAGAAACAATTGATAACAAATGCATGCATTGCTACTCATTTTGGTATAACAATCAGAGCTAGTAAGAATCCGGGCCGTTACTTCATGACATTCATCATACTCCTTACTTCAAGAGTACACGCAAGACAAAAACATGTAATCAAATCGAACGACACAGAAGAAAGTCGTTACCATTGACAAGAAACAAACTGATCTAATCCAAGTAAAGGTCAATTTTTTACAAAGGATAAGGGGAATCTGAATGCACTACCTGATCATGGCCCGCATCATCATGGCCGTTGGCGATTGAGGAGACAATAGACGCCCCCGCCTTGCGAACAGTGGATGCAACATTGGACGCAGCGGAGGACACGATCCTCATGCAATTCGACAAAGACCGAACCGATAAGACCTCATTGCTACTGCCGTTGCGGTGATTCCTCGGCACACCGCCACCCTGAGGTTTCTGCACATCGTTCCTCATCACCCACCGCAAACCACTCAACGGATCCCCAAGAAAATGAAGCAAGATCCAAACTGTGAACGCCAGGCGCTCTAATCTCACAACAGCTTCCGATCATAAATCGAGTATGTTCCTTTCTTCCTTTCTTTAGCACCAAGAAACAGCCCAAGACTCAGCTAGGTGCGAAACAACCCCAACTTTTCCCAGAAGAACTATAAACTCAACTAAACCAGAATCAAAATCGAATCTTTTCTACAGAAACAAGCCCCCGGAGCCACAAAGACGAAACCTGCTTAAAGATCTCAGCTTTCGCGACGGATTCCTAGTCCGAATCAGCGAAAAAAGCAAGCGCTTTATCGACGGGCTCCCTTATTTCCGTAGCCAGAAGCAGTGTAAGGCGAGATGAGGAGAAATGCGAATCTTCTTTAATAAGGCAGGCGATGAGGAAGACGGAGGAGAGAAGAAAGGATCGCTTCGTAATCAGAGAACCAAACATACTGAGCTCCCCGTTTACGTCTCTCTGATTTCCGCCCTCCTTTTCCTTTCCAATCTCATTTTTCCTATTGTCAACCGCTCTTATTTCGTACCATCATTTAAAAAATAATAAAAATATAATCTTTAAATATCAATCATATTTTTATTTTCTATAATCTCTTAATTATCCTTACTTAAAATATATCCTATGATTAAGAGGAGAAGAATAATAATAAGAAGAGGAAAGAAGGTAAAGAAAAGGGTGCACACATATCATTGTAAAGGAGAGTAGGGTTGTGGTAAAGAAAAAAAATAAAATAAAATCGGATAAATAGTAAAATAATACTTTATTATTTTAAAAGATTATTAATGATAATAAGTTTTCAATAATAAAAATATTCTTTTCAAATAAAATTACAAATAATCAATAGAATTCTCCTTCTAATTTTCTCAATTAGTTCCTTATAATTAATTAGTATAGACATCATTGTAAACTTTGACATATATCAAAAACATATCAATAAAAACAAAATAAAAAAACTTCAAAAATATTCCTGAAAATGCAGCAGCACTACATTAATACATGCTGACTTGATAGTAACAAATAATAGTAAGACAGATGCTATGATAAAAGTTTCTTCTACTAAGGACTTGCACACATATCAGAAACTAATTGATGAAAAAGGACAATAATTATGTGATTATATATATATGTAGAGAGAGAGAGAGAGGTGTATTTGAACAAATAATAAGAGAAAATAAAAAAGAGGACAAGAGAGAGTGTATTTGTCATATTGGGTTGGTGGCTGGAAGAAACTAAGAGGACGACTAGTTAGGGGGCAGATCTTGGTGGCTTCCTTCCTTTTGACCATGAGAGAGGAAGAAGGAAAGTAGTGTTAACCATCTCGTTTGATGAATCTTTAGGAGGGCGTTGGGAGGGTTGACCGAGAAGGATACCGACGCGAGACTTGAATGCTTTGGGGCGAAGGCGTCGCTTTAGAAGAGTCGTCCGAATGAAATGGTTACTTAACAACGAATATTTGGTAGAAATATTCTTCGAGAGACGTGCTTGTTGACAAAGGACTTGATCATGATGGAGGAGAAGACTCCTCTTACGAGCATCCAGCTTGTTGGTAGGCAACAGATTGATTGCCATAGTCCTTTTCCTTGGAAAAGATTAGGAAAAGGGTCGGTGTATCTTTCCAAAGGGATGCATTTTCAACTCTTGTGTTTTTTCTTTGCATGAAGTTTTGTGGTGTTTCATATGGCATTTATGAACACACAATAAGAATTATTTGTGTTACTAATTATATATCACTACTATCTGTCAGTATCTTCATATTGTTTTGCACTTATAGTATGATGTATTTACACAAGTGTTCATGCTATGTTATTTTTGCTTGAGATTTCCTTTACTGTAAGAGACATTTGTATTTAGTTGACTTGTGATTGAACTCACACAACCTGTCATCAAATTAAAGAAACTTCTATCTTCCAAGTCCTCTTTGCAGCTAAGGAATGGTCTCCATATCCTCCATTTATTTAAATCAGACTCAAATACAAAAACGTAAAAGAGTCCTCTGTAAGCATAAAAATCTGTAATTATGCTAAATCAATTATGCGGAATTAACCTATATGCCAGGATTGAAATTCAATACATAGATCTAATTATACGATGCGTACCTTTTGATGTCATCCGTTCAGAGATCTTGTTTGATCTGCTCAGCACACCGTGATCCAAGATTGCTGCAGGCTCCGTCTTCCGTCTTTAATCCGATCGCGCTGCGGAATCTGCAGGGAGTGCGAAGAGTAGACCCTTTCTCCTCTCTTCCTATCCTTTCACAGGATCACGTAGATTGATGGATTTGGGGAGAGGGTTTTGGGGAGAGAGTTGAGGAGAATAACTGAATTCCTCAACGGAGAGATACGACGCTCCACACACTAACACACTCAACCATGAGCAGAGGGTCTACGATGAGATCTCAGAAGATTTCCTCCCATCAAGGATATCTCCGAGAAATCGTTCCGTAGTGGACTTAGTCTTGGCTAAAATATCGCAACGGAACCCAATTCTATTATATATCTTATTCAATAAAAGGCCACATATTCTAACATTCTCCCACTTGGCCCATTAATTGATAAGATATAAAAGAGATACAAAATCAAAACAAACAAAACAAAATTTGTTTGAAAACAATTTTACCTAATTGGATTCCAAAAATTTTGAAAAAACATTTTATACATGGCCATGTTTTTAAAAATAAGCCAATAAGTCCAATAAATACAATAATACTATATTAAGTCCAACTATCAATGCGAGTCATAGCGGTTGTATTTCATTAATGTCATACTCCCTTCTATGTACCACAACATTGTTAGTCTTTCCTAACATAGTCCATAATGACCCCTGTAATTTGTCTTGTCAAGACAATCCTGTTGTTACATTCAACCATAATATGCATAAACATAAATGTAAACAGGATAGCAGAAACAGATAACTTTTATTA